TGTGAGTGTGTGTGTGTGTGCGTGTGTGTGTGTGTGTGCACGTGTGTGCACGTGTGCATCAGGGACAAAGAGAAAGAGGAGCAGCTAATAAAGGCGCTCAGATCCAGGACAGCGCTGCTGCTCCATTATCCGGTAATGGCAGCAGAGCCTGTGGGCGCCACTCGCTGTCAGGCTGCTACAGGAAACACTTCCTCACTGAACTCAACATTTCCCTGTTTGTGTTTAACAGGACAAAAAGACAGACAGACTTCTCTGCTTACCTGCGACTATGATAAAGATGTTTTATTCTTATGTGTCATTAGTTCGGAGCTGAGACATGCATCACTGTGCTGCCTGATCCCTTCAGTCTCTGCGCCTCCATAATGCATAAGCTGAGCTCAGGCAGACGCCGTCAGCGCCACCTCACTTCCTCTCTCAGGTGAGGTCAGCTTGGCTCAATTAAATATGAATTAACAGCCTGACTCTGTCTGCAGTTCACCTGCTGTGAACATCAGAGACTCTGGGGAGGTTCAGCGTCTCCAGCAGCAGAGTGACGACACCTGCACTCACCTGTGTCAGAGCTGCAGCAGCCTCTTGCTGCTGACGCTGTACGTTTGTGTCACGTGTTGTTAGGAATAAAGCACGTCATGCTCTCATCATCCAAACTGCTGCTTGCTGGATTCAGACACTGACCGGTGTAAGCAGGATCAGCTGATCCTGGATCTTTTAAACTCCAAGCTCGCATTAGATCGCCTGGTGCTTTCACTGCACGTCTGTGCACATAAACATGGATGTGTGGAGATGAATTCCTTTCAGGTGAGTCGTTTGTCCCAGACAGAGTGAATGCCCTCAGGCCATCGCAGACCGTGCACTCAAACAGCCTGACGACCGCTCATTTCTTTTTTCAGAGCTTTACTCAGACTGCAGACACTCCTCACTCTGATTATCAGATAAAGTCAAATGAAATTAATGATCCAAACTGATGACCTCACTGTTCTCCATGCAGAGAAGGAAAGGCACCGAGGGAACCGTCCTCCATCAGAGCGAGACGCCGCGCTCTCTGACACGAAGCCTCGAAACTGAACTGAAAGCTCCTGAGCTTCCAAACCACTCATCCACTCCTGTTAGGATCAGTTTCTCCACCAGCCTCTGGC